CTAGTTTCAACTTCACTGCCACAAGCAGGGACACTTTCTACTGTTTCAGGTTTCTAAACATGGCCTTGAACACTGTCAGAGATGGAGCATCCACAGTTTCCCTGGGCAACCTCCCAGGGTATCTCACCTCCCTCATCGTAAAGGATTTTTTCCTAATATGTAGTCTGAACCTAGACTCTTTCAGTTTATAGCCATTCTCACTTGTTAAAGTCCTTCTATTTTCCTGTTGGCCCACTTCACATACTGGAAGGCTGCTCTAAAGTGTCCCCAGAGCCTTCTTTTCACCACGCTTAACAGCACCAACCCTCTCTATAGGGAGAAACCCAAGCCTTGTGAAACCAAAGCCTGTCTTTGTATGAGAAATGTGCTTCATCCTTCTGATCTTCTTCATGGCCTCCTCTGGATTCACTCCAGCAGTTCCAAAGTCCTTCCTGTGCAGGGACCCCAGAGCTGGGTGCAGGGTTCCAGCTGGGGTCTCACCGGAGCAGAGCAGAGGGGCAGAATCCCCTCCCTCCCCTGCTGCCCACACGGCTTTGGCTGCAGCCCAGGACACGTTTGGCTTTCTGGGCTGGGAGTGCCCATGGCTGGGTCATGTCCAGCCTCTCACCCACCAGCAACCCCAAGTCCTTCTCACAGGGGCTGCTCTCCATCTGTTCATCCCACAGTCTGCAATATGAAAATGTGAAACAGGGATTATCCCCTTTTTCAAAGGAAACTGAAGTGACAGTAATTGTCCTGGTCAAATTGTCAGAGAAAGCTTGAGGTCAAGTAGGAGCTTCAACCATCTAAATCATGGTTCAAGTCCTTAAAAACATGCATAGATTTTTATCCAAGACTTTGCCTTCTTAGGGTCTGCGATATGATAGACTGAACTGTTTGAGGGTGTGTTTTGGCTTCTTTTCTGTATACCTAAAGACATTATGTACATGACTCTGTCAAGACATGGTATTTTACATTGTGGTCTGTTTTCAGTAGTGTCTGCTACAGCAGCAACTGAGTGTCATTACTTATTTTGCTAAGCACTATTACAATGAAAAGCTAGGCCATCTACAGAAGAAGGTTTTATTTTTTAATCCGTGTGCTATTTTAATTAATGTGTTATTGCAAACACATAAGAAAATAGACTCAGACTTTGTTTATAAATATGCACATGTGACAAATATGTTACTTGAAAATAGAGGAATAAGTACTTACAGAACCATATTCGTATTTTGTCATCCACACTATCTCCTCTTTTGAGAAACAAACAGAATTATCACAATTGTTAATTCCTTTCATACCTTACCCTTATCCATTACCATCGCTGTCACTATTCACCTAAATGTTAATGTTCTCATCTGGTTTTGGCTCACTGCAAGCCTCCTCTGGTTGAAAAACAAAATCTACTCTTCAGAATTTTTCAAATACCTCTGCCTGAAATGTCATTTTATGCCGCTCAACATCATGCAAATTATATTGGAGATCTTCTCATACAGTGGATTATGCAGGCTTGTCACATTGCAGGAGTCTCAGCGAGAGGGAAAGTTTGCCTTAAGAAGAAGGAGAAAATATTCATCTTGATAGAGGGAGACAAAAGGACTGTTTGTTCAAGAAAAGCTTTGCCAGAAAGATTTCTTAATGAAGCTAGTTTTGTACAAACATAGTCAGAATAAAAATAAGGTAAAACAGTTCAGCATGTCCTTATCTTTTCACCATCCTTGATGAATATTATCATTGCTTTTATTTGGGCAATTCATGAATCATGGTCTAAGTGAATATCCTTGCCTGTTATTCATTATGTTTGCCTTCTGAATAAAACCAGTTTAAAATATCCTGGGACTTTTTCAACAGCATGATCTATTCTCTTAAGAATGTGGCATTAGAGTCAGCCAGAGTGCATATTTTCTGTTTATTTTGCTTTTAGTGGTAATCAGGAGTTCCCTTCTTGCGTGTTTGCTGATTTGAGAGGCCTGTCTAGCCCTGCTGAGCTGCCTTTGAAGTAAGTGGGAATGCTGCAAGAAACTTGCATTCCTTGAGGAATATACCATAGCATCTCTACAGAACAGAGGCTTCCAGTAATGGAAGCTGGAGCTGATATTGATATAAAACCGGCAACCTTATTTCCTGGTTACAGAGAAAAGGGGGTGGCGCTTTTAGGGCTTTTTTATTTCACAGCACAAGTTTTCATCTGTAAGAACCAAGTGCCAGGAATTCACCATCTTGCCCAGCTCTGTCCAGAGAGAAGGTGTTGGGGTCAGCTGGCGGCCCCATCTCCCTCTCTGCCGCCTCCCCTCCCTCCACTCCTTCCAGCCCGGCAGAATGCGTGCCCCCAGGTCTGAGCCAAGCTGGGTGAGTGCTGCAGAACACAGCCCAGCACACCGGTCCATAAAAACAGCAGGCAGCACAACACAGCAGGATGATCTAGCTCCCAAGGGGATTGGTTTGTCCCAGTGCATTGTGGTTTGTTTGGGGTTTTTTTCAGACTTGGGATCAAGGAAGGATTTTAAGCCATGAGAGCCCTTCTCACCGTATTGACTTTGTCTGGAAACCACGTGGGCAGCACTGCTTTTGTGAAGCTTTTTTTTTCCTTCTCAGTGGTGAATAACTTTTTGTGGGTCCCTCTCTCTTTTATATACCTTTTATTATTAATACTGGTTATCACAAATTTGGTAAATTGTTATTCCAATTTATATTTTCTCTTCATTGTTGCTCCATTATTGGAATGGTTGGGGCAAAAGGGTGAGATTTATTTGAAATTTACTTCCCTGCTAGTTGTTAAAACCAGCACATCATAGTAAGTGCTGGAAGAAAATTTAGGTTAAATCCAGCCTCTCACTTTAAACAAATACATCTGTTAAGACTGGGACATCTTCAAAACAGCAACTTGCAATTTAACTGATCAGGTGGGGATGTTAAGATGGCAAGATAGAACTGCCTCAAGAATGTCATTCTGGTTTGCCTTATTAAAAATTTAAATATAAAATTTGATCCTGGTGACTTTTTTTCCTTCTTATGCCCTTATATGTCATAACTTGGTTTAATGAATTGGATGAAGGTTTATGTCACTATGTCATGTTGTCAATGTCACCTTCTTGAAATACACATACCACAGAAAGGCTTGGCAGGCAAGGAATAATTCTATTTTCTTGACCTACAGGCATTTCCTAAAAGATCATCAGATAATCAGCCAGAAGCAAGTGAGCGTCTCGGACATGAGGGACTACTAGGAACTAACATGAGTAGATGCAATGCAAAAATATTAAAAGACAAACAAAACTTCCAACGAGGGAAATGTAAGTTTAACCATCAAATTTCAAAGTTACACTTCAATGCATAAATTTTTTTCTTCCAAATGAGTTGCATTTCAGATTATTACACAGTTTGTTGAGAGGAAAGTGCTGTCCTGCTATTCCCTGCTCATTTTTCTAACAGTCAAAGAAGTTGAGAAATGCTTGAACTGAGTAGTCAAGATTCTGACCATCCTTATTTCTGATGATTTGCTCTGCATTTTAAGGACTACATCATATTGAACTGTGATAGGCAAGAGGTGACAAATCATAGTAGGCAAGATATTATCTGCCACAGTACTTATCCTTTTTCATTTGCAGCTGCCACCTTAATATTCAAGACGTGATCACACGTGGCTGGAAGGGAGGATACAAGACCTCAAGGCTTACAGTTGTCATTCCCTGTGGCCTAGCACACTGAAGGTACATCTGCAAGCAGATAGAGCAGATATGAAAGCCCTTTTGAGCAGGAAATAATACCTAAAGACATGCAAAGAAAGTAATCTAGGGGAAACACACTGTACTCATATACTGTCAACTTCAATATAACGTTAGGAACAGTGATTTCTCTCCTGTGCTTTACATTTCCCTGATAAGACACAGATTGTGAAAGGAGTCCTGCTTGTTCTATGGCACAAATTATTCCCAGTGTACATATTCTTAGAGTTGGTCAATCTGTCCTGATGGCATCAGCTTTGGATGGACACCACAGTTAGGTCTGTGCACCTGTATGGGAGTCACTTCCATTACCCAATGAGTGGGAAATCAAGTTTATGATTTAAAATAAATGAATATTTTGCTTCATTCTCTAGCTCAGCTGGCGGATGATTACTTGGTTTAACAGACCAAGGAGCTGAGGTGCAGCGAATATTAGCACCTCTTCCAGCAGGAGCACATTGTTAGGTGAGCTTGGCTGAAGAGCAAAGCTGTGCTTTTCAGCTCTGGGTAGAGCCTGTTCCCCACCGTCCTGGTTTTGGCCAGGAGACACAAGTTATTCTACAGCACCTCAGGTCATTGCTGTGGCAGAGGGAAGGGACTCTCTGGACTTCAGAGAAGTGTGTGGCTTTCGGTCAAACAAACTCAGCAAGTCACGGGAAGACATCCTCTACAATTTCATTGTCTCAGAATCCCTGGTGAGCATTTTTGCATGTGAATCACCCTCTCTTTTGTATACTTTTAAAAATTGATTTTATTTCTGTTACTTTCTGCTTTCTTATCTCATTGCTGTTTCCAGTAAATTGTTCTTACCTCAACATGTGATCTTTACCTTTTTACTTCCAATTCTCATCTCCATCTTGATGGAGCAGGAAGTGGGAGGGGAAGGAAGTGAGAAGTATGTGAATCCTTGTTAAAGATGCAATAGCTCAGAAAAAAAGTTCTGCTATGTCCTTGAGGTTTCCATGCTGGAGCTATGATTTCAGGTGGTAAGGAGAGAGGAGACAACAGGAGGATAGAAATGAGTCTAAACCAATAGGAATGAGTCTAAACAAAATACAAAAACTAGTTTTGTAAGGGGCTATCCTCTTTTAAAATATTACAACTTTTCAGCAGTTAAATCATAGAATCATGGAATATACTGAGCTGGAAGGGGCTGTCAAGGATCATGAAGTCCAGCCCTGCACAGCACCATTCCCAAGAATCATATCATGTGCCCAAGAGTATTGTTCAAATGCTTCTTGAACTCTGTCAGACCAAGAGAACTTGAGCTGTGTCAGGAACCCCACAGACCAACTTCCTGGGAGGACTGTTCCATTGCCCAACCACCCCCTGGGTGAAAAACCCTTTTTCTAATATCTAGCCCTGACACAACTTCAAGCTGTTGCCTCTGGTCCTGTCACTGGTCACCAGAGAGAAGAGATCAGTGCCTGCCTCTTCCCTTCATGAGGTAGTTGTAAGTGCAACGAGATCTCCCCTCAGTCTCCACTTCTCCAGCCTGAACAACCAAGTGACCTCAGCCACTCCTCACACAGCTTCCCCTTAAGTCCCTTCACCATCTTAGCTGCCCTCCTTTGGACACTCTTTAATAGCTTCGTGTCTTTGTAATAAAATTGCCCCCAGCACTCGAGGTGAGGCTGCCCCAGCTCAGAGCAGAGCAGGACAATCCCCTCCCTTGTCTGGCTGTGATGCTGTGCCTGATGAATCCCAGGACAGAGGTTCATGGCTGCCAGGGCACTCATGTTCAACTCGCCATCTACCAGGACCCCGAGGTCCTTTCCATGTCACTGCTTTCCAGCATCTCATTCCCAGGTGTTCCATACACCCAGGGCTGCCCCATCCCAGATGCAGAGTCCAGCGCTTTCCCTTGTCGAACTTCATACAGGTGGTGATTGCCCAGCCCTGTAAGTTGTGAAGGTCTCTCTGCAGGGTCTCCTTGCCTTCAAGGGAGTCAACAGCTTCTCCCAATTCTGTATCATTTGCAAACTTGCTTCATATCCCTTCCAGTCCTGTGTCCAAGTCATTTATGAAGACGTTGAAGAGCACAGGGCCAAGGATGGAGCTCTGTGGAACCCCACCAGTGACAGTGACACCAGTCTGACATCACCCCATTCACTGTAACCCTTTGTGCCTGACACATGAGCCAGCTGCTCACCCATCACATGATGTGTTTATCCAGCTGTGGGCTGGACATTTTCTCCAGAAGGGTCCTGAGAGGGACAGTATCAAAAACTTTATGAAATCAAAAAAGATCACGTCAGCTGGCTGCCCTGGATTAGCTGAGTGGGTCACTCTTCCTAGAGGGAAATCAAATGTGATAAGCTGGAAGCCGTTTCCCCTCATGAAGCCATGCTGGTTGTGACCAATGACTGTGTTGTCTTTCAGGTGTTTTTCAATATCTACGAGAATAATGTCAATAATTTTCATCAGACACTGAAGGGAGACTGACAGGCCTGTAGATTCTGGGGTCCTCCTTCTCGCCCCTCTTGACAATTGTGACAACATTCATCAGCTTCCAGTCAGCTAGGATTTCCAGAGATTCCCAAGATCTTTCAGAAATCTGCGGGAGAGGTTTTGTGATGACATCAAACAGCTCTTTGAGGATTTTTGGCTGAATCCTCTCGGGTCCTGTAGATTGATAGGGATCCAGCTGGAGCAGCAGATCCTGCACAATGTCAGGGCTAACTGAGAGTTGATCACAGTCATAGTCTTCCAACTGAGACCCACTTGGTCTGTCATCTGTACTGATGACAGACATAAAGAATGCATTAAACACTTCTGCTTTGTCCATGTCTCTGTTTGTGAGATGACCATCGTCCTCCTGAAATGGGACAATGTTATTTTTACACTGCCTTTTGCTGTTAATATAGTTGAAAAGGCTCTTTTTGTTGTCCTTCACAGTTCTGGCCAGCTTCAAGCTTCAAGCTTCAAGCTCTGTATTCTTCCCATGTCACCTGACCTTGCTTCCACTGAGTATACACCTTCCTTTTTGCCTTATCCAAGACACTAGATCACTTTTCATTATGAAGAAAGTAATTTACAGTCCTGAATTTTAGTCTCACAAACCTCAGCTTCTCCTGTTGGTGTTTTACACCATTTTATGCAATGAAGAGCCAGAAAATACTATTTTTTTTAATTAGAGGCAGCACCTAATTCTATTTACAGTTTTTGACACTGACTTGAACACCTTCAAGGAAACAATGGTCAATTTACTGGTGGAAAGAGGGGCTTTTATCCCAGCAACATTTCTCCAATTAATATAAAAGCATGCCCAAACTTTTAGTCCAGTATCATTAAAAAGGGACTTGCAAATGTTATAGCTGCCATTTAAAGATGCTTAACTGGATATTGGTGTTATTTTTCTCTGTGCTGTTTTTGTGTTTGTCTCCTTAGGGCTCACTGCATCCATGTGAGCATTTGTCTTTCCAAAAAAAAAGAATTAAAAAATATAAACAACAGGGCCTAAGGATATTTATGTTTAGAATAAAAGGAATTATGGCACAGTTTCTACTTATGTAACTCATCAGATGGCACGAGTTCAGCAATAAGATGAATTCCCAGTTCTCTTGAAATCACTTGCTTTTTCAAGCAAGGTACCTTAGTGGAATTGGACCTGAATCCAATAACCACACCATACAGTTTTGTCAAAAATATGTGGCAATGTTTGATAATAAAACACATAAGGATTACACTGTTTTACCCAGGATCTCATTAATTTGAATAGGAGCTATGTATTTAAATATATTTGAACCTCTGAAACCAGAATACCAGCCTCAATCATAATCACTTGTATCAAGTGTTTAGCTGTAGCGAGATTTCAGTAAATCATGCTCTCCAGGGGCTTGCAGGGCATGTTTTATCAATTTTTAAATCAATTACAATTCCTCTGACAAACTTCAGATTCCATTCAATACCTGTAAAGCAAACAACATCTGTGTGAAGCATGGAACTGGTTAGGCATCATTTTTACAGTCCCCGAAGGTGGCAGTTTGTCTTCCCTATGGTGTATAGGAGAAAGATCTAACTACAGCGTTTTCTGGCAGGAGCTTAGCACCATCAGCCCGCCTTGTAAGCATTTCAGCAAACCCTAGGAAATGTATAACCATCAGCCTTTTGGATGAGGCAAATATGGTAATATAGGGACTTCCTTTATTCTCTTCAGGAGACAGGACAACCATTTCTTAACGTGAGGAAGTACTGACCTCTCTCAGAAGGAGCACAGTGTCTGTTTGAGCTCCATTCTTTGGGGACCCAAATTCACCATTCTTTCCCACCTGGAAAAGAAGATGATGGTGCATGATTAGCATTTGAACACAGATGCCTGAAAAGGGAGAGTTTAAGCAAAAACACAGTGAACCGATAAAGCCAGGACTGCTCCTCTGGCAGCTTCAGTGACGCCATTCCCATTCTGCCAACTTTTCTGGAGTCTGGCAGCAAGGACTGCACCAAGTTCACCAGCAGTGCCATCAGGGTTTGGGAGCCAGCCTGCTGGTAGCATGCGCTCTTCATGATCCAGAAGGGGCCCTGCCTGGCTGTGCAGGAATGACATGCCTTGGAATCCAAGTCTAACAAGTCCAGCAAGGATCTCTGAAGCTTGTTAATAGAAACAGAGACACAATTGATAAGTGGTAGGCTGGGACTCAGACAAAGCTGAACTGCTGCAGTTCAACAAATTTTATGCTACCTGAACTGTTGAAAAGGAACTGTGTGCACTTCTGGTGCACAAAAGGGCATTAAAATAAGCCAAATGATATCAAGTTTGCAGAGGGCATGATTACCCCGTCACCAACCATGGCCTAGTGCTTCTTGCACCATTGTCATCTACAGCTGCATCACTGTAGATTTTAGCACTTAGCACAGCTGTCTTCAGAAGGATTTGTCTGTGAGCTTTTGGGAAGTGCTCCTGACACTTCTTTTGGGTGCACAGTACTTTCCCAGGTACATGACAGCAGCAGATAACTTGGGAGGAGCAAGGATGCTTCTGGAATCTGTGCCCCGTCAGTATTAAATACATGTGTAAGAGAACATCTAGGCTTAGAAGCAACCAGAAAGACAAAAACAAGCCAGCCAGACCACACAAGGGTAAGCTCTTGCACAGGTAAAAGTATGAAAACCAGTGGATTGAAGACCAAAATGAATATTGCAGATTTCAGTGATTGTAATTCCTTAATATAATACAATGCAATAATATAATGCAACAGCCAAACAGTGAAACTGCCAGGAAATGGAGTTGTATTTTGACAATGAACCAGTCTCTCACTCAATATTTCATATGCTGTCAGGACACTAAGAACTACTCTGAGTCAAAGGGCTAATTGCAAGTAAAACCTGATAAGAGGAGGGACAGGGTAGCACTGAGCAGTAGATTTCTGGCTGCAAGTAGACAAGTTATGATATTCTTCTGTTTGCCCTCTTTCAACAGAAAGGAACTGCAATGCTTTGGAGAGGAAAAACAGGCAACTGGTCTAAAAGGGATGGGAAAAAAGTGTCTCCCCATACTGCACTTTGTTAACCTGTGGAATTAGCTGCTGAAACATCTCCCTCAGGGTGACCAGAAAGACAGATTAAATGTAATTAAAAATCTGAAATATTTCTACATTTCATTTTAAACCCCCCAACCCACATATTATTATGTGAGAGAAGACAAAAGTTATTTATGAAAATAATAAAACCACTTCTGCTTTGGCATATAAACTGACATTCTAGGTAGGAGACAGTATTTTGTCATTGTTTACTGTGAGGTTTCTTTCACCTTTAGCTGAAGCTAAATCTCTAGTCACAGTCAGACATGAGATTTTTGGCTAAAAATAATATTAATACCAGCAATTCAGTCTGATCTTCATCTGTTCCACTGAGTTTATCCTCCAATACAAAAATTCCAAAAAATTAAAAATACTATTCACAATTTCTTCAGGGCTAAGCATTCCTTCCCAAGAGAACAAACAACCACAATTAGAAGTCAGCAAGGGCAGTAGGTGGTTTTTAATTTATATTTTAATTTATAGTTACCTTAACTTTGATAGAAAAAGGGAAGAGAATGTTACCTTAATGTTTCCTTAAAAGGTGTATGTAGTCCTAAAATAAGGATCTTAGTCTCAGTATCTACATGAAAAGTTGAAGTCATTTAACTCAGTCAGTTTGAGCTTGCAAGGTCTCTACCAGTTCTTATTGTGCTTGCAGAGGCCTTCAATTAGCTAAACTGTCTAACTAAACAATAAAAACTAACATGATTACAAACCTAACATTAAATCACTTTTGGTTACCTATTGATATTAACAACTGCACAGTTGTATCTTCTCAGCTGAGATAATGTTGGACTGAGTCAACCAACTTACGTTCTTCACCTTTTGAACTTTGAAGTAACATGTCAGTTTATGACTGCATGTTTATTTCGATGATAAAGTAAAAAGCACATGGCTCTGCCAAAATATTATTTCAGGGCTTGAGGTTTCAGAATTGCTTATTTTCAATTAGCTCTGTTTAACAGAGGAATAAAGTTTTCCTGTGATACATTGATAAACACCTCAAGCATAAGACAGAGATGAATGCTTTCTTCCTTAGAACGAGAAGATTGTGGAAAAATTGAATGCCTTCATCTGCTAGCTGTTCTCTTTTGAGGCAGCTTCGGCACACTTAGTTCTCCTCGTTGCAAGGGCACACAGCAGGCTCATGTTCAATTTTCTGTCCCCCTGGCCCCTGGTTCTGCTAAATCTGCTTCGTAAGCAAAAGTGTATTAATCTAAACTGTTTGTGCTAGGCATTCGTACCCATAGTCCCACTCAGGCAATTAAAATGGCAATCATCTGTGTCAAAGAAAAAGGAAAAAAAAAAAAAGAAAAAAATTGAGGACAGTAGGAAAAATGACAAGGTGATACACTGAAATAGCTGGAAAATTCAGTCAGTAATTGTACAACATGGAGCTCAGACAGACCAATGACAATGACCAATGACAGTTTAGCCATCTGCTAAGCAAGTTCTCATCCCTGGACAAAATGTAGAGATTTCCTTCTTATTCTGGAAAGCAGAATGGATATGTGGGAGGATGTATTTCATTTCAGCCCAGTTGCAAGAAAACTACAGAATGATGTGAAAGCACCCGAGGAAATACAGTCTTCTGCTAGCCTGGAAAGTCATGTTGCAGAACAGCTAAATTGGTCAGAGGAATTGTGTCCTATTTCTATCTGGAAAGGAAGACTAGACAAATAGATCAAGGCATTTTTGTTTTTCCTGACCTCTTTTCCTTGGGATAATTTGAACACAATCAGGTGAAGTGGAGGCCAGTCCAACTGGGAGGATTTCAGACTGAGATATTCTGGTACCCATTACATAAGGGTCTGAAATATTTCCCCTTCCTTATTCTTCTCCAGCACACCTGAAGATGCAGCAGCAGTTGTATGCTCAACTCACTCCCTGCTGTTGGCAGGACTGGTGTCCCTGTCCCTTCTTCTGCAGTGTTCCTGAGCTGTGGAAAAGGAGACAAGAAAATATCTAACATTTAGAAACAGATTTCCATGAGCATAAATGACTGCATACATTTGGGCTGCCTTCCTTGTGGTAGTAAACTTCCATAAGGGAAAATCAACAGGTTTGTATTGTCGTTGGGTCACTGCTGAGGATAAAAAAGAAGGCCAGCTCTTCTTCCCAGTCCAGACTCCAGCGGTCCATTGCTTAAGAGATAACAAGATACCTAGCACAGCATAATCTTGATTCCCTTCATGCTAGTCATACCCGTGAACACATCTAATTTATCTGATTTTTCTTGGATTTTTTGTAGATTCCATGTGTGATTGTTGATTGGATTGCAAAATCTTTATAGTCTTCAGATTAGATTAGATTTTACCAATTTTCCTTACAGCACTCCAGATGTGCCTCACCAGGGCTGAGCACAGGGG